GCTTATAATAGGAATAATAATTGTTAAATAAACATGTTGTACGTTTTTCTTACCTGTTAGTAAAAGTTGAAGAAAATCCGTGATACTTCTTGCAGAGCAATGAAAGGTGGCATATTGTCTAAAGCCTGGACTAAACAATCAAACTCATAAGCATGTTTGACCGTAACATCATCTCTTTCATTCAGCTCCATATAGGCTCGTGTCCAGTGTTTGATCCAACACCATTTTCGTATAAGCAAGCGATCAAGCCATCATTTCAGCCGGGTATTGCACACAATTCATGTGGACTCATTCTGCTTGAATTGTATCAGACATTTTTTGCTTGTTAAACCGCTCCACGTTGTGTGTGATAACCATGATGTTGGACGGGAATGTTTGATCGTTTAGCCTCACCGGACGGAAGCTTAACCTTCCGCGGGAGCCGATTACAGTAATCAGCCCCAGCATGCCTTTAGCAGACTCCCCCGGGGACCCTCCCTTAGTAGGCTGGGTTTCCGACGTGCTTTTGGTCTGAGATTAGGTAGAGAGTCAAGCAATGATCTGGTTTGGTAAACAGGGTATGGTGTTTCTCCGAGGGGGTATTCCCATATTAAAGTGAAGTGGATGCTCATCGTCTCGCTTAAGGATAGAAATTGCGGATTTTGGTCTCACTCAGGGTGTTCTGGACAGAAAGCCATTATCCTAATAAGGTTTTTTCCTCCGTTTTTCTCTCTAAAACAAAACAAAGTAAACAGTAAAAACTGAGTGGAAACTAATTTTGAAGTTCCGAAGAAACAGAAAGACGTATGAGAGGTTTTTTTTTCAAAATTAAAACGAAGTATGATGGTGATTGAAATTAGCATAATTACACCTCGCGTGAGCTGCACGCATTTATAAAATCTGCTGTCTTTTAGTTTTGTTACACGGATGACATAGATGAGATTTTCCTTGGTGTTTTAGACAGTGTTTAGTTGTTTTTGTTTCGGAATAACATCGACCTTATTGGCGAGTAATAGAACAAAAATATGATCCAGTGGTAGAGTCATGGAAGTAACCAGAAAAACCATTTGAAAGAGATGTTTGTCTGCTCCAACTAAACCTCATCTCAAAAAACAGCAACATTTCCCTTTCGGAGACAGTGTACCAGCACAAAGGAACGAGGAAGAAGTGCAAGAAAACAACTCAGACCGCCATGATTCAGTGACAGTGGCAGTGTCTAATGGACAAACCGCATCGCAAGCCCCGACAGAAGTCGAAAACAGGCGACATTTCTAAGCAGAGTCCTATTCCACTGTATCACACTTTTTAGCTCGGACGCGCTCGTTTCACTGTCCAACCTTTAAGTCACAAGGGGTTTTGCTCCCGAAGCAGGCTCCAGGCTCATTTTGCACGTGTCAGTACACACGAGGGAGCGTTTTCAAGTTCGCTCAATTTGCCCTGGGAGCTTGCTCCCAAACATTGAACCTGTTAAATACCGTGGAGCATTTTGCGGGGTGGAAATTCTGCTCCCGAGGATGAAGTATACCCATGAAATGGTTGGTACACATGGAGGAGCTTTGCTCCCGGAGCGTGCCCCTGGAGCTACCCTGGGTACCAGAGGTTTTTTCTCGCGTGCTTGAGACCTGACCGAAACTGGAAACCGCGCATGAAAAAACTCTGGTACCCAGGGTACCCTGGAGCATGCTCCTGCAGCAAAATCCCTCGTGTGTATCGGCCTTTATCCGCCCTGCATAGCTATTGCTCACGCAACAAACCATAACGGATAGGGTTTGAGCACCAAAGTTCAGCCGTGTGCATGTTTGGAAACAAGGAGTGAGGTACCTCAGCCAGAATGACCAGGTGCCATAAGAAGTTTTGTTTCTTAGCCGTGATCTGTCTTTTTGGACTACAATTGCTACTCATTTTTGTCAGTAATCAAGAAAAGTGCATGTCTCTCAAAGGATTACAGAGATGGATTCGTTGGCCCAAGACGCCAAAAACGCGTTTGCTGGTAATTGGACAAGGGCGATCAGGAACTAGTTTTGTGTCTAAGATGTTAACTATTGGTGAGCAGGTGAGTGAAAAGTTTGAGATTCATTGCTCTCCTCAGTCTATATTGGAAGAAATTTCACAGCCTGACGAGCTTTGAAGCGAGAAAAAATTTTATGCAAATTAGCTGGCGGCACATTTAATGTCCTGCAAGTAATTTGAATAAAATCAGCCATTTGCGTTTATTTTCTTTCAGAGAGGTCTGTAAAAACAAGGGCAATCGAATTATCGGGCAAAAACAATGTCATTCCGTTAATAGCTAATATAGGCTTATTTTGTTCGAAATCGCTCGCATGCAGTCGGTAAATCCAAGAATTTCTGCTTCGTTCTATGCTTCAGTTATGAAAATACTAAAGGTAAGACCTGTGGTTCGCCGAAAAAAATGATTTGATCGTCAGATTAGTGCAACTAGAACTACGAGGTACTACGACAATTTACAACAACAACAACAAGTTTATTTCAAATTAAATATAGTTTACAAAGCTTGTGCCTGCAATTCGAGGCGGGTACAAGAGAAAAAAGAAAATTATATAAATATATATATATATATATATATATATATATATATGTTAAACGAACAATCCTACAAGCAATCTAGTTTGTCGTGTGGTTTATAGCCAGAGTGAGACAGGAAGGCAGACTGTACTTCATACGGAAGTACCCCATGTTACGATTTTGAGAATTGCCCTGTAAAATCAGAAACTCTAATATAGTCGTCGTCTTTTTCCAGTATTCTCTTTAGTTCGCTTTTGAATTGACTTTTTTTAAGTGTTTTGATAGAAAGTGGAATACTGTTCCAAATTAAAGCACCGGAAATAGAGAAGGCTCGCTCTAACTTGTTCAACAATACTAGAGTAATTTTCATTAGTAACAGATCTAGTCCGGTAACTGTGGAAAGAAGACAGTTTCGTGAACATATTCTTAATGTTATCAGGAGCGAGATTATTATGGACGTCGTACATTAAAAGGCTCATTTGCTCAAATAGTAAGAACGATATCGGCAACTGTTTTGTTTCTAAAAACAACGGAACTGCATGAGTTCTTGGTTCAGCGAAGAACGTTAGCCTAAGGGCTCTCTTCTGGAGAACCAGTATTAATTTCTTCATTATTAGCAAGACGAATTTAGGCTTAAGTTGGCTTGAAAATCTTGTAAGACTGTGTATGCTTCCTTCTGACAAGATAGTCCTTTAAAAACAGTTTCAAGGTACTATAAGAGAACTTTAGCGGGACAGCTTTACGAGGATTTAGGTCTCTCTTGGCACCCTCTTGTTATTTGTATCACACATGAAGTAAATGAAAAGTAAATAAAGATATCAATACATGTACAGTGGGTTGTGTCCTATTTATAAATAATTTTGAGCACTACTTTCTTCAGGGATCTTTAGTCTTAAATAAAAAGCTAATGAAGAAATACTTCAAACTAGTATCCTTGCTTTCTATATTGGTATGGGTCACAGAATGTTAGGTTTGAAATTAAAAATGGCATTCAGCATTTGTGATTACTAATCAGGGGCACCCAACGAGAACATTGTTGAAAACCACTTAAACATAGCATTGTTAAACGTATTTTAGTATTTAAACGGTAGATATAGGCATATTTTTATCCCCTAAAAATTTTTCATCTGTTCGGATTTCCTAGCTGAAAGTCNTTGTTATTTGTATCACACATGAAGTAAATGAAAAGTAAATAAAGATATCAATACATGTACAGTGGGTTGTGTCCTATTTATAAATAATTTTGAGCACTACTTTCTTCAGGGATCTTTAGTCTTAAATAAAAAGCTAATGAAGAAATACTTCAAACTAGTATCCTTGCTTTCTATATTGGTATGGGTCACAGAATGTTAGGTTTGAAATTAAAAATGGCATTCAGCATTTGTGATTACTAATCAGGGGCACCCAACGAGAACATTGTTGAAAACCACTTAAACATAGCATTGTTAAACGTATTTTAGTATTTAAACGGTAGATATAGGCATATTTTTATCCCCTAAAAATTTTTCATCTGTTCGGATTTCCTAGCTGAAAGTCTAGTGATCCGAAAATTATAGGGATCAAAACTTACCTTTTCGAAAATTTCAGCCAGAAAAAAGGCTCCAGAAAATTCTAGGTGACCTTTAAGGGTAAAAATCCGTTAAAAATGGGCAATTACAGTAGTTTTTAGATGTTCGAAAATCCTAGGAGAGGCAGGCAAGCAAGAAATTTTACAGCAAATGTTCCGAAAATTCAAGATTTCAAATCGTCTTCCGAACAGACATTTTCCGACAATTGTCGTTGGGTGCCCCTGACTATAATCCTCTTACAGTGAAGCAAATTAAGTTATACGAAAAATAGCTTAACCCGGGCTGTGAAATGTGAAAATTAAACTTCAGAAAATCTTAGATTTTTCGATAAGCTTTGAAAATTGTGCATGAATGGAACTGTCATCTAGAATTTTTTTATCCGTCCTCAAGTAATAGAACATTGATTCTTGGCAATATTTGCCTCTCCGAACAGATATTTTACAGGAAACAGTCGTTGGATGCCCCTGAAATCAGGAAACAAATTTTCAGAATAGTAATGTTTAATACAAAGCGAGACAGGTGCAGGGAGTACATCAGTTTGAACATTATGAATGGACGTTTGTTGTTTTGTTTCACAGGTTTTCGAAGTTTATGAGCCTTTGCGATTAATATATCGCAATTCGGACAACGAAACAAAATTGCAAGTTCTTCAAGCATCACTATCCTGCGTGTTGACGCCAAAGACTGTGTGGAAATTATATGAAAGAATATGTCGTACACTCTCAACCTGTGAACCCCCCTTGGAGCAAGTTGAAGAACTGAGCCACAAATGTAAACACTGTTTTTCTGGTACTGTTGTTAAGGTATTGCCTCATCGAATACCAGGTGGAAAGTTATCGAGTCTTCTCCCTGTGCTTACTTATCGAGCAGTTGGTGTTGATATTCGATTATTGCATGTTGTTCGCGACCCAAGAGCAAGTATAAATTCCAGGATAAAACTGGGATGGTTCCCCGAGTTCAATCATACAAAATTTACGAAAATGGTTGAAAACTATTGTAATGTCATCATTGACAACATCGAGTTCGGCCAAAACCTTGATGATTCGGTCAAACACAGATATAAGCTTGTTTTCTATCGGGACATTGCTGCTCAGCCGCTTAATACAGCAAAAGAAATCTTTACATTCGCAGGGATGGATCTTGATGAGAATACTTTCGAGTGGATAAAAGCCACAACAAATCTTAGTAACAAGGCGGAAGCAAACAAAGCGAATTTTAAGAGTCCATACTCGTTGGTGAGGAATTCTAAAGCGAACATTGAAAAATGGCGAATTGAATCTCCACCCGAACGTACAAATGCCATAGAGAATATTTGTAAGCCACTGTTGGAACTTATAGACGAACTGAGCATGAGTGAGAATGTTCATTGGATAACTGAGTAAGTTAGCGAACCTCAATTCTAGTACAGTGGAAATTCACAGGAAGATTTAAGTCCCGCAAGCTCATAAGCACAGAGTTTATGAGCATTTACTGGATTCAGCTTTCGTGTGATCTAAAAAATTATGCAGTGCGAAATGTGACGAAAAGTTTTTCCACTTTCGAGCGATTTACTGAACGAACTATAGCTCAACCAACAGGTATGACAAGCCAAAGAAGTTATTTTGGCAGGAAATCGCATAGCCACCCGCGTCTTGTGAAGCCGGGGACAACTAACGAGTCAATAAAGACGAAAACGGAAAGCGAAAATTGTTTCTATATCCTTGTTGTCTAAAGTATTAAGCTTAGATTAATTGTCATGTCCACAAATTTAGAATATAGAGAAAAAAGAAAGTGGGCGACAGGCTAGACTGCAAAACAGTCGGTATTTTTGCTCTTTAAAATATTCAAGTACGCGCGAGTAGTCAAACAAAAGGTCTGGAACGAGGCTGAAAACAGAGAGCGAGACTGGGAAGAGACGCTAAAAATGTCCTCTCGCCTCACACGCCCTACGCGCGCTTAAGACTCTTACGCCACGCTTTACTGATTTCTTTACTGATTTTGAGAAAAAACCCACCGTTTTGCAGTCTACGAAAAGCCAGCAAAGCTCAACGAGAAAAAGAGCGGCATAGAGCTTGAGCGAAAGATAAGGGGCTATTTGTTGGAAGAACAACATGAAAATTTTTTTGCGGCGGTGAGAACATGAGAAATCCTAGCGACCACCAAGGTGAAAATGAGCGAGTGAAAAAAAGTGAACAACAACAGGTACGACATTTCTTTCATAAAAGGTGCAACTATAGGAAGTTTCTGGAAGTTTCACGTTGTGGTCGTGCAAAACTACGGCGAAGAAGTATACAAAAAAAGTGTGCTGTACGTGCAAAGTTGTTTTTTTGCTCACCTATTGTTGTCGTTTCACCGTTCTCGTTGCCTTCGCCGCTTCTATAACATGATTTTATATTTTGTTTGAGCAAACTATAAATATTATCGAGAGCTTCGCCTTTAGCCCTGGCTAAATCTATATATTAATAATAATAATAATAATAATAATAATAATAATAATAATAATAATAATATGAGAATAATTTTATTGAACTTTAAAAAAAATATATGCATAATTTACAGAAATATTTGAAGTAAGTAATAAGCACTAAATGACAATAAGAATTATATAAATCATAAAAATATCAATCACTGTGTCAATAACGATTTCACTAATACATTCCTTGCGGCTCAGATGCGGTCAATGACTCTTACAGGCAGTCCAGAGTTTTAAATTACGTCATTTCAAAAGAGAATTATTGGTCTGAAGAAAACAAGTTAAAAAAAAATAAAGTCTCGTATTCCTAACTTCCTAATTCTTCCTAAAAAGATTAATTCGGACAGGCTCTAATATTATCGATCCGTAGGTCTGACTCAACAAAGTCTAGCTGTCTACTTCTGGATATTGAGCCTCTCAAGCATAGTATTGCAGACCGTACGATGGCGAAAGATACTTTAGCTCTTATCCAGGAAATTACGTTTGAGCAACTTTCTCTCTTCTTATTTGCGATCAGCTCCGCAAGTTTACTGTGGTACTTAATACACTCATCCGCCATTCCACCTGTGGTCGTGAAAACTAGGGGAGTGAACGTTCCCTGTTCGATCTCCATTACTCTTTCCTCTTACTGCCTCTTCTTTTCGTTCTCATGCTTCTTGTAGATCTGCTTAAGAGTCAAGTCTCTCTAAGAGTCTGCATTAGGGTGACACACCCGGACGTCGAATAATGCAGATCTCTGTCTCTCCCAGAAACCTCGAGCATGAATATCCAAACGGGCATCAGGGGGCTTGTTAGCGCCATGATTTACTGATCTCCTGAGGGAACGGCTTAGCCTGCGTAGCAGGCGCTTGGAAGTAGTGGGCACAAGAAAAAACGCGCGCGAGAGAAGGAGACACACGAGAGACAGCTGATCTTTATAACAGATATATTTAGACCGAAGATAAAATGTACAACGCTTTTTGGCGGCACGCTTTGTTTGTGCGAGGTCAGTCGTTTTCTGTAAAAACTTTTGACAGATCACGCAACGGCTGCCAGGTAATTGGAGAGGGGGCGGGAAACGATTTTCGGGGGCCTTCCGTGCAGGCGCTCCCTCTCCCCTCGCGTGTCTCCTTCTCTCGCGCGCGTTTTTTTCTTGTGCCCACTACTTCCGTGTCTCCTTCTCTCGGGCGCGTTTTTTCTTGTGCCCACTACTTCCAAGTGCCTGCTACGCAGGCTAGGACCGGCTCTACTTCTACATCATTACAGACCATCCTTAGCATCTCTGCTTCCAAGTCACGCAGTTCATTGTGGCGCTGGATAATGAAGCCGCCGCGCTGACACTTTCATTTCGTGATCCACGCTAAATTGAACAACGCATGCGTAGAGCGCGGGTGTGTCCGTTATTTCCCCGTCGTACCGTAACTTGATTGCATCTCGAAATTCCTTAATAATAATAATAATAATGATAATAACAATAATTGCCGAGAGCGCGCTTACTGGGTACATCCAAAATACTTCGCAAAGTCTTTGACACCTAAGGTCACGGGCGGTGACTTGATGTTTAAGGAAAAAAAATAAATTGTAAATTGTAAATTGTTCTTTTACCCACGAAGTACTTAAGAGTTCACATGAACTCGTTTAAACGTGTCCGTGCGTTCTAGATCGAATTGGAATTTGGAAGTGTTGGTTTTTGAGGAGAGGGGAAAACCGGAGTACCCGGAGACAAAACCTTTCGGAGCAAGAGTGAGAACCAACAACAAACTCAACCCACATATGGCGTCGACGCCGGGATTTGAACGCGGGCCACATTGGTGGGAGGCGAGCGCTCTCACTACTGTGCCACCCTTGCTCCCTGGAAGAGAAGCAAGCCATTCAGAAGCGCGGTGGACCATCGTTTGCCTCTGCTCTTTTATTCTCCCCTCTCCTCTGTCTGTCAACTACACAAAGAGGCCTGAGCGGAGGAGAGAGGAGCACTCATGTCTTATAGGCGTGGCCATTTTTGGGGGTACATGTCTCTCACTGTGGGTGGGGTCAACCTGGAGAAAACAAGACCACTCAGAGCTCTGTTCAACAGTTGGTAACAGCCCAGCATTCGCTGATATATTTGACTTTGTGAAAGATTTGAACCCAGGAGTTATTTCTCGACTCAATTTAGAAAGCTGGTTTACTTTAACTAAGAACAAACGCCAATGAATCACAGTCAACAATTACCACTACCGTACAAACGACTTATTGACGTACTCAAGCAAAACTGAAAACTACAGAATGACTTGATATTCGACATTTTGACTGACAAGAAACGACTGTTCAACTGTGACAAAAGACGGATCGACAATGACGTTTAGACTCTTCACAGCTAATAACATCACGGCTTAACTGACAGGCGAACAATAACATCGCGACATCGCCAATCAGGTGAATACCATCAACTGACGTGATACAACTCACTTTTGACTCTAAAGATGACTACTGCACAGCAGGTTTTCGGAACATCAGTTGCTCTCAACAACAGTCCTATTCAGAATTACGCCGTACCAGAACGATCATGCTCTATCTCTTTACGATATTCAGTTTCACTTTCCTTGAGAATATTGTCTGAGGTTCAGGAACCTTTTCTATTCCCAGCAAAGCCATCAGAGCTCTGCACTCTTTCTCTATGACTTGATTCCTTTCAAAAAACTCATCTTCCCTCCATTTATCAGCATTTCCCGTTGCGTTCCTCACCGGTGAAAAAGGATCTTTAAGCGCCTTTTTCAGTTGATCTCCGTTCGGCCTGGTGCTCTTCACTATCCATCTCTCTGTCTCCAATGGCATTGCAAATTCAGCAAATTTGAAGATATCCCTCGCAGTACCTAGCGGGTCATCGGCTATCTGCTTGTACAAAACTACTTTATATCGGTGATCGAGGTTGAATTTTTTCAGCGTCGTTTTTGCATACCCTAGATTTTCTGCGATTGTACTGCACAGTTCTCTTACGGTTTTGCCTAGATGTGGATTCGGAAAATCCTTAGTCCATTTTATGTTTATTCGAGAGTTGATGTTCCCTCTGGGATCCCGTACCAAATGCAATATACGCACGTCTACATCCGGATTTTCCAGTAAAACTTGGGGGACCAAATTAGCGATTTTCTCTCGAGGAAGCCGCACAGGCGAAACTTTGACAACGCTGTGCTTAAATTTTGTCCTGCAAACGTCGTCCACAAATTCTGGGTTGTCGCCTAGCTTTGGACAATGAGGTTCATTGTTCATGCTGTTTGATTTGTTGCAAAACTTTGGTGTTTTGAAAATATTAACGGGTAGGGCACCAGTCCAAGGTTCTTCCACGTAAGAGAGAAATTTCCTCGATGTGGAGTAACGAGAAAAGTTACAGCTAACAATGGAATTAACAACCTCCAGCTCACAGTTTAAACAGTCCAAACGTTGGTAGAGTTTCCAAAATTGTGTTATCCAAAGAGGCTCATATACCAGGAATATTTGAGGATCCTTTGCGAACATGGTGCTTATAAAAGTGGTTCCCGAGCGATCGTGTCCGAAGATAATCAAGCTGCGCCTGCGTGCTCTATGTGTCAGCAGATTCTCATTCTGATTCTGGATGTCTTTTTCTATAAATACGCCTTGTGTTTTTCTGGCGGTTCCTCCCGTTGAATCACCAGATATCGTGAACTGCTGTAAGCGAGATATTACAGTGCAAACCAGAATCGCCGCAAAGAAACAACAGAAGGAAAACAAACATTTCAGGACGAATATTGTTGGCTTCATGGAGAGCCCCAGTTATTGATCTATAAAACAGAATTATAAAATTCATTGTCTTTAACCTCTGGCTCTCTGAAACGTGGAATAAAGTAAGTGAATCGCATTTGATTGCCCGGTTAAAAATCCTCCTAAATGATATAAGCAGTGGAAGAGGAAAATTATAACCGAGAAAGTTTTCAAGAAACAGAGGAACCTCATGGCCAGGGACCCGTTTCTCGAAAGTTCCGGTTACTTTTCGGGCCCGAAATCAAATATTCAAATCGAAATGTAAAGAATAAGAGCGCGGGTCCTGGCTAGCATACTACTCCATTTTGTTTCAATTACTGATAGTTTTATCACATTAGATGCAAAACTATTGAAACCTCGATCTTTAATGTAAACGGAGACAGGTTACCGGGTCCGTTAATAATCGTAACGGGCCCCAGGACTCGAACCCGTTGTCCACGCTTTTCTCGAAGGTCCCAATAACCTTTCCGGAACGAAGAAAAATACTTTAAAGGCAATTCAGGTGTTGTTTGTTTTGATCGAATCACAAAAAATAAATTCTTGGTAGTAAAAACAGAAACAGTGGCACATGTACATGCAGTACAGTACATGCGTTTATATCTTTATATAGTTATTGATCTGTAGTCTTGATTTTGCAAAGATTACTGATAATGCGAGCAATTGGCTAATATTGAGCACCGGAAGTGGAGTTCAGTCCTTTCCGTGCAACTTTATTTAGTGTTCACTAAATCTTTCTTCTACGACTTTCGAGAAACGGGCTCCCGGAACGTTAAGCAGTCCGACCCGTTAACCACTTCACCGCTGAAACTAGCCTCACTTGCGTAAGTTTAAAATAGTACAAAGCAAGTTCAATTGCAATTCAGTTGTAATAACACAGCTCTTTGGTTAGATATGGTGTTATTTTAAGGAGAGCTCTGCATTTTCGTGCATTTTACACAGAGCGCATAGTTTATCAGCGTAAATCTGACCTACCTAGAAATAGACCTTGTCACGGTTTTCGACGCCATCATCAGCATCTTGACGAGTAGGCAAATGCGTGAGAAATCACAGTGTTTGTACGAGAATCTAATATCGAATAATTTCCGTAGGACGGCTTTTCTGAAAAAAAATATCAATTGTAAACTAAAGCTTCACTCCTAAGGATTCTACTGAAAAAAATTGAGGGCGTTACATGCTCTAGAAGACCTAGAACCACTTTTTTTAAATTTTCTATACATTTGTCTGTAAGAAAATCCCAGGAAAAATTACAGACAAATATATGGAGAATCTAAAGCAAGCCTCTGGAGAAATTTAAGCACAGGTACGCCCCCAAATTTTTTTAGTGCAATCCTTTGCTTAGTAGCTTTAGTTTAAAATTGGTTTCAATTTTTTTCAGAACAGCCGTTTTACGGAAATTTTTCGACATTAGATTTTCATACAAACATTGTAATTTCTCACACGTTTGCCTACTCGTCAAGATGGCGTCGAAAACCGTGACAAGGTCTATTAATTTATTTAACAATTACTGATTATTTCTTGAACTAAATAATAAACCATGGACGAACCGGTTAGTCTGCTACACAGCCGTTTTTAGAGTCGTCACGCAACGCTCCTCCCCACTAACTCCCGTCAGGAGCCGATTACTTGACTCCAAGGGCTTATATGGGAGATGGAGGCTCTAAGTAATCGGCTCCTGCTCCCGTTTGTGGGGAGGAGCGTTGCGTGACGACACTAAAAACGGCTGTGTAGCAGACTACGAACCGGTCAGTTTGGGCAAATGGTAACCAAACTCCGCACTAGTAAATTTCGTCGGGAATCACGTTTACCATTTAAATAAATCACAGAAATCAGTTCCAATTACCGAAAAAAGGCCGCAAAACCTTAATTATAAACTGGTATCAAAGCGGGATTGAATTAATAGGATAAAAATTTCGGTTTGGAACGATCCCGACTGGAAAAATAGAACTACTGAAAGCCGTACGTGACACAAACGGTGAGCCTGGGTTACCTGTGATAGAAATTCAAAGAGTGACGGCAAAGTTTGCGCTTGTTTCTCAGACATCATTTCGCGGAGAAACTAGTGGTGGAGTCGCGAAATGTCGGCTGTTTTCTCACGCTAACTCAAATTGAGTGGTTACACATTTAGCACGAAACATTGAATGTTACTTTTCTAATTAAGAGGTGTTTTAATACTCTGAAAAATATGATGGGAGTCTTGAACTCTTAACAGAAAAAACTCCATTTAGAACCTCTTAGCGTTATAATTTTCATGACATTTCTACAGGGACAACGCTGGAAATGGCGCTTTAAAAAACCAAATGTCTTCTTCCAATCTCTTTTTCTTTAAGGTGACTCGACCCAGTTTTTTTTAGGGGGTACCATCCTACTTTGAAGCTCTATGGTACCCCCACCTTTACTTTTATCGTAAGTCTAACACATAGAATGGATAACATATAGATCAATCTACAATATAACATAAAATTTTTGGCGATCGGAGTAAATGTCTTTCCCTCTGGGATCCCGTACCAAATGCAATATACGC